TATATATATATATATATATATATATATATATATATATATATATATATTTTGGGGCCAGACCCGGACGTGCTTTAAAAGTGATCAGTAAAATCTTAAAATCAATTCTAAAACAAACAGGGAGCCAACGGAGAGAAGCCAGTGATGTGATGTCATCAGTTAGAACCAGTGAGATCTGTATCTGTAGCTTTAGCAGGCCGTGCCCTCACAAAGCAACATTTCATTTACTGTCATTGAAGCTAAGTTACTCACCTTTTCCTACAGGTGGAACTATCCTCCAATACAGTGTGGTGAAGATGTCCGCTGTGAAAATGATGGAGTCTGCGATGATGGGCTGTGGGGAGCTAACTGTACATGTATGCCTGGTTTTACAGGCAGCAGGTGAGCTCACTTTTCATGGAATAGAAAGTTCAGAAGCTGTGTGTTTTAGACTTCAGTGCCAAAATCCTAGATACCCAAATGAGTGTGTTAACTGGCTGATGTCTCAGTACGAAACATGTTTATAAATCACATTTTCTGGTTCAGAAATGTCGACATTGAGAAACATACAGTGCCATATTTACTATGGTGACGTCGGTGCCATACAATGAAGTTACTGGAATTCTGTTAGTGTGTTTTGAATGTAATACAATGTAAGAGAGCAGTGGGCTAAAGACCTTTTCCCAGAAGACATTTTGACTTTGTTTAATTTGTAACCAGGTCAACAGCTTCTACCAGTCATGTGTGCCAGCATCAAGGCACGAGTAGAAGCTCACTCTGGTCATTAATTCAGTCTATCATGGTATAATAAGAGTCATATTTTAAGATACTGTATATCATTGAAAACAGTCTTCTTCCTTTGTACTTTTCAACTCAATGCTGTGACTGTCAGCAGTGCAGAATGAAGCTGTAAGGAACATAATGTCACCTATGTCGAGTAGAAAGAAAACATCCAAAATGCACATTTAACATTTTTATTTTACTACTCTGTCTATTTGCTTCTGTAGATTTCTCCTAAATTCCCCAAAAGTTGCCATAAGAAAATGCCTCATTTGCATATTTAAACATTTCAGAAAACAGAAAATACAGTAATAAGCTGAAATTTCATGATGATGTCTATTCGTTACATTGTTACCCTATTTACCTGTGGTGTCTTCAAAATGTATGGAATATCATAATCCTTATCTCTAAAGACTGTTTTCTCTAAATGAGTTTGTTCTCAGACTCTCCCCTTCAGCAGCTCTTACATACACCAAACGTTACACTTTCATTCCTCTCTTTATTCTGAAGCTTTTTAATGATGGGTTTGTTCATAAATAATTCTTAGCCACGACATTTTATTCCTAAAAACATGGCGGAAATTGATCGTTTTATGGTTGTTGATAGTATTTTCTGATTTACAGGGTGATTTAATACATCCAGTAAAAACCTTTGACTAGAATATGTCAACAAAATGAAGCAAGAATTATGAACCTGGCTTTATCCAATATAAAGATTTCTTTAAATCAGCACATCATTAACAAGATAATGGCTCACAATTTACAAAAACCTGGAATACAGAAAATAATGAATGAACGTATTCAACTGGGGAAGTCTCATGGTGACATATATTAGTGATTTTTTCCACCTGTTCCCCCTTTTATTTACCCAAATGATATAATTAAAGCAAGACACGTTGCTGTTGAACATTTCTTTGAGCGGCACAAACTAAATCCCATTCACCTACATTGTAAAATGTGTTTTTCATCCTGATAAAGTACGAAAACTTGAGTAGCAAACTCTTGACTTCTCCCATAAAGATCTTTAGAAATGTCCAGAGTGGTCTAAAATGTTCATGTCCTCTTCCAGATGTGCCCTCATGTGTTCTCTGTCCCGCAGGTGTGAATTGGAGATTGATGAGTGTGAGTCGAACCCCTGTCGAAACGGCGGCTCCTGTTTGGATCGATTCAACATGTTTGTGTGTGAATGCCCGCCTGGCTACAGCGGCCCGACCTGTGACACTAACGTACGTTTGTTACATTCTTCTTCTTTGGTTTTAAACAACCCGCTTGGTCAGCGACCCTCGGCATCTGATACCGATGCTCCCTGTATGAGCCGCACTGGGCTTTCAGCTAACTCCAATGTAAACCCATTCACGTCATTATTAGACACTCAGAGCATCTGACTGTATAAAGTCAGATGCTTGGCGTGAAGGTAGGAGGGGTCCAACAAACAGGAGGATGGTATTTTCTTTTAGTTTACTCGTGCTTATTTTAAATCAAACCAGGATCTTTTCCTAAAACAAATCAAGTAGTTTTGTTGCGTAGTTAGTAGTTTATTTTGAAAAGACACTGTATGCATGTACATTTATTTTGAAAAGACACCACTCTGACACGTCCAAAGCTAGAGTTTTGTATGTACAGGTCAAGAGATTTTTCCATTTTTCACTTGTTGCTTAGAAACAACAAAAATCCAAACAGAACATCCAATTAACTTGTTTATTTTCCCCTGATTGCAACATTATATTATTATACATTACATTATTTGCATCTATGAGTGTTGTTAAGTCGCTGCACATCTTTCCACATCCATGTGGTTTCTGTTCTCAAATATCTGAAGACGTGACATTTACACAACCTCTGCCCCTCTGTGCCTTTCTCAGAAACAAGCCCACAAACAAGTTATCCCCTGGCTGGTGGTGGCCATCCCGCTGCTCTGCCTCTGCGTGTTGACCCTGATCATCGGCTTGACCTTCGTGGCGCTCACGGCGAGGAAGAAGCGCCAGTCGGAGGGCGCCTACAGCCCCAGCACCCAGGAGGTGGCCGGGGCTCGGCTGGAGATGGACAGCATGCTCAAAGTCCCACCGGAGGAAAGACTCATCTGATGCAAAAGAACGAAAAATGAAGGGTGTGAGAGGGGGGGTCCGAGCTCCTCGGGCAGGTTGCTTGGGACTCTCTATGAAACACACTCTGGGCTGAACTCTGTGTTGTGGGCCACAGCCCCCTCCTGGTGGTGACCAGGTACTGAACCATGAGCTGCTGCTCTGTGTGCCCCAACAGTCCCAAGTCCTTGGTATACCACGATAGAAATAGAACATATTTTATTTCTACGCTCTACACACTGTAGTTTGTCCACAGCAGGGCCTTAGTAGTCCTAACTAGTGCAGAGAGGACAGTTTAAGGGCTCTCCTTCCCAGTGAAGCGCTACAAGCACACACACTGTCAGAAATGTCTTCTCAGAGTCAAAGGCTCACCTGTGGTGCTGCCGGAGACCAGGTTGCATTCTCACAAACGCATTGTGATTAGACGCTTGGGGCCCTGCTGTTAGCAGCATCCAGTCCAGTCAAGCTAATACGCAGGGCTGTGAGGCTGCAGTTCCTCTATTGGCCACTAGATGCTGGCTGGAAGAAAAAGACCGTTCTAATAGCACAAAGAAAGGAAACTTCTCTGTCCAGTTTTACTTGTAATGTGAGTCTTAGTGGTGACCACTGCGTGGTTCTTGTCTGAGCTTCGACCCAGAGCTCTTTTGATTCATCATTATTTTGTAGCGTCGTCTTCTTCTGCTCTCCTCGAAGCCCTGATATTCACATAACCCACCTCCGCTTTTCACGTCCAACAAACAAGCTTGCATAGTTTTTTCACACGGTATGAAGGTAGGATTGATTACATCAAGCTTTACTACAGACTGCACCAGAATGGAGGACTGAGCGAGTTTCATTTGCCTCGAAACTCAAGACACGCAAAATGGCGTTCACAGGTTTTCTCAGCGGTGAAATCAGCGCCGTCAAACTGTGACGCCCACCTCCTGTCAATGCCGGAATGCCAGCGGATGCACATCTTTTGCTCAACGTTCAATTTTGTTGAATTTTTGTTTCTGCAAAAAGCTGCTGCACTCTCCGGTTGACGCCGGCGGCCTGGCTCTGCACAAGTTTGCACTTGTGCATTTGGTGTGAAAAGCAAGACGAGGCTCCGCGCTCTTTCTGGTCCCACTTACTGACAAAAAATGACAGCTGGTGGTGAATCCAAAACAAGATTGGCGTCAATTAACGAATCAAATCCTCGCTATAAGGTACTGTGTTACGGCACTGCGACAATCTGGTGAGTTCTGTCGCAAAAACTCACCCAAGAGCACCAGAAAGATGTACGGCACCTTAAGTGGAATGAGCTCATGAGAAGATACCTCGCCGGCTTAGCTTCGCTAAATCTTTCAAAGCTTGAGACTGTTTGTGTTAGAAAGTTTTTGAATTGGAAGGTTAGAAAGTTTTTGAATTGGAAGGTTAACCTTCCAATTCAAAAACTTTCTAACACAAACAGTCTCAAGCTTTGAATTGTAACATTTTAGCAGAGACGTGTTTGGGAAGCAGCGTACCACTGGATACATGAGACTGGGATTATACTACTCCAGTTGTGTGAGTGTCAATGGATCTTTTGATATTGTTTTGCTGTTGTAAACGCTGCTCCCCTTTACTTTTCTATGTTTTTTGATTCTGCGTTGACCTTGGGAGACGTGAGGGAAATGATTATTTTTTACAAGAATTCAACACAGGGTGGGTTATTGATGTGCAAAATGTAATTTTGGTGGTAAAGTATTCCTTTAACTGGAAAAGAGGAGCAGAATGGAAAAAATCCATACGAAAACTAATTTTATTTGACATTTTAAGAGCTTTTGTTTGTTCTGTGAATGATCTCGTGGTTGCAGTTTACTCCACAGTGAGGGGAGTGTTTTTCAGAGCTCTTCCTCTTTGTGTCAAGCCTGTACAGTTTGTATATTTATATGTTTATTCTCCGTGTTAACTTCTGTTGGATTTTGGGTTTCACTGTTAGCGCCTCACATGCACAAAGGAGTGTCTGCTGGTGTTGGTCTTGACCTCTTCAGAGGCAGCGGTGGTCTAGAATCAACGGTTTGATGAAGTAAGGTTCCCAGAACCTAAACCGAGTTTTTAGGATACAAGGTTGAAATATTGCACCAAAATAAGTGATGAAAGGAATAAAGTACTAAAACATGAAACGTTCTGCAGCACACTGTAATGTGATGTAAAGTATTAGTTTTTTTAAACAAACATGTCGTTGTTTAGTAAAGATTTAGATGTTGGTTGCACATTGTGACACTGTTTTTTTGATGTACAAAATCCAGGATGTTCACAATGTATTATAAACATGCAATAAATGGGTTACATAAGTGTCTGTTCGGAGTCTTTCCCATCATGCATTAGGCACGATGACAGGTCGCCAGTCAATCACACAAAGACAAACACATTCAAAGATTTAAGAAAGTTACCCTGTAACACGTGTTTCTAGAGAAGGGGATGAAAACAAACTAGAAGAACGTGTCCACTCAGCCAGGTGGTCTCAACCTGGTCCAGGGTCTTGGTCTCAAACTGGTCCAGTCCTGGTGTGACCTGTGAGCAGACGCTCCGGTTCATAGTGAGACCTGACTTTTCTATGGATGTCAATTTGATTTGGTTTGAGGCTTTGTTTTTAGCCCGATGTGTCTTTTTGCTGCTGCAGCAGTTGTTGACTTGAAGCCCTCCCAGCAGATTGCTAGCGCTAGCTGCTAACGCTACCTCGCCCTGCTCTTCCCCAGCTCAACCCTCTCGTCCACATAGTCACTTTTGGTTAAAAAAAAGCCAAAATCAAGACAACAAAATGGTAACCGAGTGACTTCATGACGACTACGTCCACTTTTATAAACAGTCTATGCTCCCAACTGACAGGGGGGTTAGAACAAATGACGTTAAGAAACCCAGACAAAAAAAGAACAGTGTTGTGGATTGTAATATTTCATATTGATTTTAATATTTCTTTTGTACATTCTGGTGATTGGAGTTGGTAAAGGGTCCAAGTCACCAAAAAATGTATCCTCTGAGAACCACAAATTCAGTCCCTAGAGGACCATGTGTATCATGTATTGTGTTAAGGAATATGGATATTAAGTGTTTCCAAGTTCAAATAATGGGGAATCATTGGGCGGGGACCTACATTTCCATATTAAATGTCCTGGGAATATGAAGCGGTGGACAAGATATCTGCATCAACAGACACATGGACTTAGTCATCATTGGCAAAAAGTAGCAACGTGTACATGAGGACAATAGAGTCAGATTGTCAAATTACATTTAAGTGAAGCGGACAGACAAAATATTTATTATGTAAGTGCAAATGGAGTCGGACCAGCTGAGACAGAAACCGGTCACAAAACTGTGAGAGCCAGTACCTCCGTTCTCTGTTCCGGACATCACAATGTGTGAGCAGCCCGTCACTCAGTCGCTCCATCGCTGTTATTAAACTCAAAGTAAAACGGGACTAAGGCAAAAAGCAACAGAAGGAAATCATTCGAGTGCAAATATCAGCAGAAGAACCCTTTAAAACAACAGAATATACAATTAGGGGTTTAAAAGTCCACATTTATATTAAATAAGACATACATGTTGAAAATGTTAGGGACTGTAACAACACATTATGTAATAACTAAACAAAATGCAATATATTTTCACTATTTATTATATACTTACATATATTATGTAATAACACCCACATCACAGCCTGAAAATATGTAATAATACATGCATTATGAAAAAAATCATTATAACAGTTATTTTATGCTTTTAAGCATAAATCACTCAAGGCAATTTAAAAGATACAATTAATTCAGTAGATTGTCTTTCATTGGCCATCTTTTTTCATTGGTGATTAAATAATGCATGCGTTATTACATTTCATCAAAAAATTGCAAACCAAGCATTTGGAAAAAAACATTGCGATATGTAATCATTTCTTGCAAAATGCAATAATGCATTCAAGCCGTTTATTCCAAATGTAACAGATTATTACAAAATGCGGGTATTACATAGTGAAGGGCAAATGTATTACATTTTGTTTAGTTATTACATAATGCAGCGTTATTACACACGGATATTACAGCCTGGCAGGTTCTCTTAAAAGGTTTCTTGAAAAAAAAACAAAAAAAAACAAAAAAAAACACAGTAGGCGGCAACACATGTTCACAGGGATTCATCATGAAGGCCAAAACAAAACCAAAAAACTGCATGAAGCTACCAAAAACATCAACAGGTGAACTGACTGCATGATGGAGAGGCACCACACTCTGTAGATAGGGCACCATTAGGATGTTCTTCATCTATAGCTACTAGCTTATTCTAGAAGTGGACATCATTAAAACACACATCCTCTATCAGGAAACAGCTGTGACTATTCCTCAGCGATCTATGCTGAGCAGCACTACACTAACATGGCAGCATCAAAAACAGTTGACGCGAGAGGAAAGAATCTTGTGAGCAATTTGTGAATGAGTGGCGATTGGCTGTTGGCATCTCAACATCTCAAAGCAAGGCCAACGTTCGAGTGCGACTTCCAGTGTAGAATGGCGGGAAAAAAAACAAAAAAAAAACAAACGAAAAAAATTCAGGCGATCCTTAGACAAGTACGGGTGAGTTCAAGTGTTGGGGGCTGACAAGACAGTCCATCTGTTCAAGAAACACACACTCCTGTTTGTGATTGGTCAGCATCACAGCTGATCATAGTGGGGAGGGCAGGTGTGTGTGTGTGTGTGTGTGTGTGTGTAGGGAGTTACATTAACATTCCTACATACTGCATCAGGACCTTCTGTCGCAGTGAATGATACATCTTCTCTGAAGCGTTTGCTCAGCTGTACTCCACATGCGCAACACACTAAAGTAGAAGAAAACATGAACGGAGCACTTACAAAGTGGTTTTGTCCTGGTTGATTTGTGGTCACTGGTGGTAATGGCAAGTAAGAATGACAACTGTATCAACCACTGGGGTCAGCAAATACCTTGAGCAACTAACAGCGCAGCCATGCAAACTGTGGGCTGAGAGGATTCATTATTGTTTCAATAAAGAAGTCAGTCAACAAAGCACCTTTAATGTTACTACAAGGAACTTTCATTTTGTGTTGATGTTGGGGCCCCCAGTGGACAAAAGCGGTAGTGTTTCCATGAGCGCTACCAGACTCTCTTTAGAAAACATCTCATTTTACCGCAGCAGGGTCTGCCACGCTCAGTCCTGTATCTGGTTCCCCCGTGCCTCCCTTCGCTCCAGCGGGTCCAACCTGGGCCTTAAGCAGCGTGGTGTCGGTGTTGGCTCCCAGCAATTGGGCGGGGAGGTCCAGGTCCTGCAGCCGCAGACGGATACAGTGGAAATTCCAGCTGGAGTTGATGTACAGGTCGCCCTACCACGCAATATATCCTCCCAACCACAACCTCATCTTCATTGGCCGCATCCATCTGGATCAGTAAAGGCTGGCAGAGCAGCGAGGAGAAGCTCTGCTGGAGCCTGAGCTGAAGGAGTTACTAGTGAACCTGCATGCTGCACAACGTTTCGACTGATGTCGCGGGGAATCAGACCCCATGACATTAAGGCATCAAGACTAACTATACAGAAATCGCTTATCTTCACGCTGATGGCCTTGTTTACTTATGAAGGTCATATAAAGGCATCAGTATTACATTGAGACCGTTTCATAACCACTTAAAAGTTCCTTGTATTAACTTTAATGTGTAGGAGGAATACTGGAAGCCTAATAAGCTAATGTTTACTCACAAATTTTAAGGTAAAGCTTTTATTGTTCTACGATTATGAGTTGCATAAGCAGAGTAGCATGAATTAGAGCTAATGTGCCATTAAATGCAATAGAAGGTCCTGACACAGTCGTGAGGGGAGTTTGGGTAGTGACAGAAAGGAGCACCTCAGAACATAGTCACAGGTTTTAGTCAAATGTTTCCCACCTTCTCCGAAGGTCCTCCACCTTCTTTTTTGGGGGTGTAGCTGGCTTGGCCATAGTCAGCAGATCCCCAAAAAGATCCTGAGTCTTCTGGCTGTCTACCTCAGCACGGAGCGGCTTTGGCAGTGCGTTCTGGGCTGTGCTGGGGACAGACGTGGAGTCCGCGTGACTGGAAAGGGCATGATTGCTGGCGGAGAAGTGAGACAGGGAGGTGACGGAGGAAGGGAAGGCTGACGGAAGCAGTCCATAGCTGGGCGGCAGAGTCGAGCTGCCGGGCGAATGTTGTCTGTAGAGCCCCGGTAGTGTACAAAAGGACTGTGGCTGGGCTGGAGCGTGCGAGTAAGAGCCGGCTGGAGGCCCGTAGACCACACCGAAGGGATTCCCACTTACAGTCGGTGAGTAACGCATGTGAGGGGAGGTGTGCTGCAGAGATTGGGCAAAAGGGTTGAGTGATATGTGAGGATGCAGTGGGAAAGGAGGCAAGCCCTGTGGGTAGGACCTGGGTGGTAGAGTTGGTTTGCAGGAAGATGACGACGCGCCAATGTCTAACCCGTCGCTTAACGAACTGGAGGGTGCTGAGCTGTTAAGGGGGTCGAGAAGGCTTATCAGATCTATACTGTCCTCAGCGGCCTTGGTGGGCTTCAGCAGTTCTCCATCTGTGGTCATACTGAGGGCTTGTCTAAACTCTTGTCCCCCTGATGTAGTGCCTCCTTCGCCAGCTCCTGCCGGTTTAGAACGCAGCTGGGCGGCGGGGGGTGCTAGCACAGTACCGAGCTCGGGCGTCTTCCTTCCGTGGGGGCGTGGAATGGTGATGTAACCGTGGGCGGAAGGGTCCAAAGTGTCGCCGCCCGGGATGGAGCTCTCGCGGCTCGGAGAGTGGGCTTCTATCGGCGCGAGAGGTTGGACAGGCGGAGGTCTGTCGCAGGCGGGAGGCACACAAACGGGTAAGGCCGCGTCGTCCTGCCCTACACTCCACAGCTTGTTGTACGGGTTGGGGAGCTTGAGGCCTGGAAGCGTTCGCGAGTGTTCACCGAGACTCAGGTCCATCCGCTGCAAACACAAGAAGTAATTCAGACTTTTAAAAGGATCACGCCAGTAGTTTTCAAAATCAGCCCAGTAAATATCATGTTCATGTTCCAACTTATATTACTGACAACCAGTTCCTAATTCATGTGTCTTTTCCTACAAGTCCTTACGTACCGAATTTCACATGACAGTGGTGCTAGATGAAGGTTTAGGCGGTCAACAACAATCCCTAGGAATCAGCCTCAACATATTGCATGGCCATCTGGGCATTTGTTGACAAGCTTTTTTTGCTCTGGACCCAAACAAAGTGGTTTTAGTCGATGTGGACATCTGGACCAAAATCAGAATCTGGACCTAATGTCTTTTCGGAAACACTATTAAGACAGTATTAAAGAACTTTTGGCTGCAGAGCATTTGGACCTCTGACCTGGTAGGTGAACTTGGCTTGTAGACCCTCAGTGTCTTTGGGAGTCCTCAGGTCCTCGAGACTTTTAGCCAAGGTGATTGGTTGGCTGTCAGGCTCGTCCTGGCAGCCGAAGATATCGCCCAGCAGGTTGACATTGGAGAACTTCTCGTTTACCGGGCTGGGAGGGGCAGTGTGACTCTCTGCACCGAAACCAGGATCGATCCCTTCTATCAACGCGGCCTCCTTCAGGGAACGGTACGGCTGTGGCCTGCAGGGACAGCGTTTGACTTATGGTTATTCATCTCTCTTCTTTCCATGGCTAAACTTTACCCAACCCATAAAAGGACCATTGAACTTTTTCCCAAAATAAAGATGCACCTACACTTTCACTCTTCAGAGTCTATGATGAATGCTGTGCTTATCCCTGCACCCCCTCCTACTTATTGTCTCTCTTACTGTCAACAAATTCCATGAAATCCATCATTTTGTCATTATGGTGAGCCTGGGCACTGTGGTTTATTTGGAGCCGAATAACTACCACACTAAATATGTATTAATCCAATTTAATCCATTTTGTGGACTATGACAATAGTCTACAAAAAATGCACTACTACTTCTGTTTGAGAAATGCTTGCTATAATACTACAGTGTCCAGCTGTTTGAGGAAATTATGCTTGATTTTTAAATACAAGTATATTTTTGTGACCAGTTTGCAGCTTCAGTAAGAATCAATGGGCTTGGGGCTGAGTAGTAAGCATAGGGTAGGGAAGTGGGAAAGTATTGCATTGTTGGTTTTAGTCTTGTCATGGGATTAGTTGACAGCAAGAGAAGTGTAGAAAAAAACGTTTTTGTAATACCCCATGCAGACACTTCTATTCTTTCTAAGTTAGAAAAGGTTACCATCTAGCTCAGAATGAAAAACCAATGAAGCCAGATGGTGTCAGGTCAATGATAGCAAACTTCCTACACTGTAATTCGGCCTGCTCATCGTTTTCACAACAGTCAACTTTATGAATGGCCACAGAGACGGTGTCTATTAAAATTAATCTATTTAGGGTATTGTGTTGATTGGTATCTATAGTAAAAATTGCCTTTCAATGTCTAAGTAAATGGTGAACCATGGAGATGGACCGAAAGTCTATGGTTTGAACAGGTTATGGGAGAAACCCGATCCATCTGTGCTAATTCATACTGATGGTTGATGTCGTGCTTTCAGTCATTTGCTTGTAGATGAACTACGATATAGTAGGCTTTGTTCTTGGGTAGGGCTGGGCGATATGGATACAATCTTCTGTCAAACATGATAAAGCAAATTGGTACGGAAAATCTATTGAGAAACCATTCGCACTTATGATGGGAATGGCTGTTTAGTCAAATCCAGTGAAGTGAGTATTTGACAGATTAGGAAACGTCATCCCATAAAGCAGTCCTGCTCATTGATTTACAACTTTGCTCGCAAAGGCCGAATACAACCTTTAAAAGGTATAGCTACCGTGGTGAAATAGTACTGAATAATCCGTAACGCTTGACAAATCTTCATTATATCACACAACTCTACTGTCTTTTTGTAAAATTGAGAGATTGGAGTCAGGTTTGGTTTTTGCCTAATGACCTCTATCACAAACACAAATGCCTGATCAACTCGAGCCATAGCTAATTCACCAGGGTCTTATGTAAATCATAATTCTACTGCCAGCCCTCTGATCAAAAGCTATTTTGCCTTTCCTTTACGATGACCGTAATGTCCTGCAAGTGAAGCTTTAAAAACACATGTACACACATTTCATTAGAAAGCAAAGAGAGGAGTTAAGAAAAGCTTATTAATTAGTCAAAGGTGCAAAGCCAATCGAAGAGATGCGTACAGAGGAGACCACTCGAAAGGGACGGAGAAGAGAAAGCTGTCAGGAAACCCAGAGATGGAGTCATCGTCGTACTGGAGCTCATCTCCGGATGAATCCTCAGAGAGAAAGACGGTGTAGTGACGAGTAGGACGGATAGAGCTACGGTGAGGAGAAGGAAGACAACAGGAAGTTCACAGCTCGTTACATACAGTATATGTTAGTGAGGAGCATTAAAATCAGGATCAGGAAAGAGGAGGAAAATCAAGAAAAAGGACAGTGCATACAGTGCATTAGGAGCAGCATGTTCCACTTCATTTGAATGAGCCTAAAGGAAGCTGTGCAGCTAGTTGGAAAGGAAATCAGACCACAACGGACTAAGTCAGTGTACTTGCTGAAAGAAATCCACAAACTTTGATTGTCTGTGTGACTTTATTTGAGAACCGAAGGGAGTCGGATTCTGTCTGCTCCCCTGTAACAGTACACAGTTAACACTGCTTATTAACCGATATCTTTCAACAGGGATGAAGATTGTTACTCTAATGTCGGCTACTTCTCATACAAGCTGCATTTCAGACTTGCGCAACTCTCTTCTCATAAGTGAGAACGTGAGATTTCATTTAAGGTTTGCTCATCAGATATCAAATGATCTAAATCAATCAAGTTTAATCATTTGCATGAAGCAACTCAATTCTTACCATAGACATGCACTCAGGGTGGTCTTGGTAAAACAAACAAGTGGCACAAATGAATGTTCCCCATAGAATGTTTGGAACCAAAACATCACAGGTAATCTAATATAATCAGCCCTCGAGACAGTTCGCTGGCCCTCTACAGCTAAACCTGATATCAGAGGTTATTGACATACATTCTTTTTTCTCATCAAACTGAAGACATTCGATTGGTATGGGTTCAAAACATTTCTATGTTGTGTATAATAGTATTGTCTCAGACATATTGTCTATCATATTTACTATTGCCTTACTTTAATAGAGCTGTATTTACTGTGTTCCATTTGATAAAACACATTTTGAGTGTTCAAAATATCACAGAGAGAGTAGTAAAGTGAAGCTGACAAGCAACACTGAGGCTTCTACTGGGAAGCAGCTGAAGGAAGTGTTAAACATCAACAGTAATTAGGTAACTAATTAAGCAAGAACAGGAAGTCTGGAGAGAAGATCTCGTTAACTGGTGACATATTTAGGACCATTACATTCAGAAGGTCAATATGGGCTTGTAATGTTGCTGACCTCTACTAACTCAAGGAATCCTATCTTCAGTTGTTTACCCCTCTATCTCAAATTCCATGCATTGGCTATCTAAATATTCAAATGTAATTGCATGATGGACAGTGGAATATACTGTATATAATGAAGGTAGGCTTACTGGTCAATGCTGCTTTCCAGACTCACGTTGCTGCTCGGTCTCTTCAACAGCACTGGTGGCCGAGCCTGTGGAAGTGGAAAAAACGACATGATGAAAGGGAACACAGCTGGTTTAGCATACCTACCTCCTCACCACAGAGACCCACAGGAATATATGTATTACAACAACGTTTGGCGACATTTTATGGCAACAGAAAAATAACATTGGGGTAAAACTTGCAATTAACAAAGTAAAACTGTTCAATTGTTGCAGTGCAAAGAGTGAACACAGAAATAAAGTCAAACAGATCCTGTAAATAAAAACTTGACAAATCAAAGTACTTCAAAAATATATTATATTATATAACTTTACAGTATTGCCAAAACTTTACTTAAATGTTAATAGCCATAAACATACAAGCCTTCCAGATAAAGGCCGACCCGCTCTACCCACTGAGCTACAGAAGCCCCAAAAAGCTTGCTTATTGATTCCCATTCACACACACCAGTTGATGGAAAGTTTTTCTCTCTTTCTGCGACATTAATTCAATTTAATTTATTTTGTATAGCCCAAAATCACAAATTTGCCTCAGAGGGCTTTACAATCCGTACACATGCGACATCCTCTGTCCATCCATTACAGAAGTTTGTTTAAAATCAGCTGGAACCCTTGAATAGAAACACGGCCAATGATATTTTATCTCAAATAGATGTCCATACATCCACTTAGAAATTATATAAAAAGACACTCTTTATACATTTTTTACTATCCAGAATTTGTGACTGTCATCACATTTAAAGCTAAATCATCTTAGTTTTAATGCTGCCAGTTTGTTCGAATGTAAACAAATACAGGCTAAAAAAAACAGGGCTCAAGTTGTAGATCATAGCTAACGCACTGACTCCAAATTAGCACGATACTACCTTTTTACATACCCAAAGCAATATATGGGAACGGATCGGCAAAAATAGTATAGAATAATCTGAAGAATTTATATCATCCAACCATTGTTCCACCAGTGCGTTCATACATTACAGCTCTGTGAAATTCCTGATAAACTCTTTCTCTGCACACCAAGTAACCAGCCCGCCACAATTCTGCCCACCTGTCCAAAATGCACAGTGATTGGTCTGTCGTCCAAGGTTCGCAGTGGCCCCTCCCTCCTGACTGCACTGGTGGAGGAGGTGAACCCTGCTGGGTTGTCATCATCGATGACCGCTGACCCTGCTGTGGAGAAGCCATTTTCTGCCTGCTCCTACAGAGGGGGGGGG